GTGGAAAAAGGTGACAGATCACTTTGGATTCCTAATAAAGCCTTCCTAGCAATAGAGGTGTCCTTTTTTCTCCTCCTAGAAGTACGAAATAGCAGATGCTGAATAAACTGGCACAAACTTTAAAGTGTACTGAATTATTCTCCCTATTTTTTTCCATTTTGTGCCAGCAGGGAATGTCTTTTGTAAAAAGAATGTTCTCCCACTCTATCATTTTTTAATTTACTGGGATTTTTTGTTTTGGTTTTTTTTCACTTGATTTTTTTTTTTGTTGTTGGCTTATTGATTTGGGTTTTTTTTGTTGTTGTTTTGGGTTGGGTTTTTTAATGCTTCTGTGCTAAAGCAATCTCTTTTTCTGTAGGTTCCCAGTGGTGGCAATGGGTGTATTAAAGTGGGTGGATTGGACAGTGTCAGAACCGCGATACTTCCAGCTGCAGACTGATCACACTCCAGTTCATCTGGCATTACTGGATGAGGTAAAACTATATATAAACCTTGCTGGAGAGTAAGAACGGTTTTGATGCTTGTAACTCAGAAGTACATCCAGTTCACTGAATGCCTGTAATTTGCAGTGCATCAGTAAATATCCAGAGAATAATCTGTTTCTATTCAGAGTTAATTATTTGCTTTTGTAAGCTCAGCATTATTTATGCTAGGAAAACTTACGCGTCAAAGAAAGAATTAGTGGAATGCTTTTCTGAAAGAGTTTACATCTGGCACTGAACATCGATGTGAACTTGTCTAATAAAGACTGATGTGTTGGGTTTTTTAAATTCTGAGGATCTAATTTTCCTGTCTCGTTCGCAGATCAGTACCTGCCATCAGCTGCTTCATCCCCAAGTACTACAGCTTCTTGTCAAGCTCTTTGAAACCGAACATTCGCAGCTTGATGTAATGGAGCAGGTGATTCTCAAAGCATTCAGTATTTGTTTTCTTTTTTATATTCAAGCTAATAGCTGTTGCTGTCACAGTAGTTTTAAGAGTTTAGTTTAAGAAAGGGGTCATGGTTAAAATGTAACGGAGCAGATATTGAATCAATAAGAATGAACATAAAAATGTCTTGCTTTTTTGAGAGAAAGTTCTAATCTGTTGTTTTCTTCCTTGCTTGCGCCGTCAGCTGGAATTGAAGAAGACTCTCTTGGACAGAATGGTCCATTTACTCAGTCGAGGATACGTCCTGCCTGTTGTCAGCTATATCCGCAAATGCCTGGAGAAGCTAGATACAGATATCTCTCTCATCAGATACTTTGTTACAGAGGTGGGCAGCAAAAAAATTGTGTTTACTAACGTGTAGAGGTGAACTTTAATGTGTTTAAATACTAAATCAGGTTGCATCAGATTCAAATATTTCCAGGTGCAAGATGAGATTCTGAGCAATGTGTGTAATGTCAGTATTCAAGAGATGGGACTTAGTCCTAGTAACTCCTGACTTCTGAAAGTATGAAGCTACTGGCTGGAGTACCACAAGAATACATAAGTAATTGCTTGTCTGGAGACCATCTGCTTGTATACTTTCAAGGCTGGCATTGTGAGTTAAATACTGTCCCTACTATTCCTCTGACTAGAAGAATAATCTGAGTTTTGCCGGTTATTCCAGGTGCTAGATGTGATTGCTCCTCCATATACCTCCGACTTTGTACAGCTTTTTCTTCCCATCTTGGAGAATGAAAGTATTGCAGGTACTATTAAAACAGAAGGCGAACATGATCCCGTCACTGAGTTTATAGGTAAGTCCCTGCATCCCTGCTTCCATTTGTATTTGTTACAACGTGCGGATGATGTTTAGGAGGGGGATTGCTAAAACTAGGAATGCCTGCCAGGTATTTTCACAGATAACTTCCCTTTTAGGTCTTTAGCAATTTTAGCAATTTTCCTTTAATCAAGAATCTCTAGGTAGTAGTGAGGAACTGGGGAACAAATACTGCTTTTTGAGAACTAACGCTGTAGTGAGGAACAACACAATTTACACAACACAGAAATCCGCATGCAGACAGGTAAATCAGAGTAATGTACTGAAGATCACTTTTTTTTCTTCTTTTAAGCTCACTGCAAATCTAACTTTATTATGATGAACTAAGCAGTGGAAGAAATCAAGAATGCGGAGCAGATGATAACTACTATGCCATACTCTCCACCAGTGAGGTTCTGTAACTGGGCAACACAACAGCAAAACCAACCAAACCAACAAAAACAAAACAGGGAAGAAAGGGCAGAGGATGTTTTATTGGCTTGAGCTTCATATCAGAGGACTGTTAAGGTAAATGGAATAATACTGAGGGATTTTCTGTCATTGTACAACTTGGTATAAATTTGAATATTCTGAATGGAATAGCAGGAGATAAACAGATTTATTTCAGAGAATGTTATTTTGGTTACCTGCAGAATTCCTGATTGTTTCTTTGTGTAATACACAAAACTCGAAGAATGGGGAAGGTAGTTCCTACTAAAAGCATTTTGCAGATAAGTCTCTGAAGACTAGATCTTGAAAGCTGTAAAAAAGGATTTTGTGTGATTTAGATCTGTGCTATAGAGAACCCGCAATGCCTCTTTTACCTTTGCATTACATTAGAATTCTGAGTAATCTCTGTATTTACGGCTATGAAAAAAAGAATTTTGTGTAACATAAGTGGAGTCGCAACAATCAATGTTAGTTTTGTATCAACAGATGAATTGTATGTGAGTGTGTTCTCTTTCAGAATCTATTTTTTGTTAAATAGATGCATCCGATGTTACTGGTAAGTTTCATTACCATGTCAGAATTCTACTGCTGTCCAAAAAGATGAATGTGTGCAGAAATTTCATTACTGCTTGGTTTTTATACTTACCTCTACTCTGTCCTGGTTGATGCCAAACAGTGGGGAATACACCCAAGATTATAACTTACATTTAAATAAAAGTGTGGTGTTTGTTTTCTTTTTTCCTTTTCCAGAGATTTCTTTCCCACTCTTTTTTTCTGTTCATTGGGTTGGATTTCTCTTTGTACAGGCAAGTAGCTTATTTAAAAGTGAAAGGTATAGACAAGTGCAATTTGCTTTTTCTAAGCACATCTGTTTTCTGAAGAACCTGCTTCCTAAAAGACACTGATCTTTTAAGTAAGTCAGTCCAACTGGATTTAAATTGAAAAACAAAATTGCTTTTTTTCTTTTTTGAGTAAGTGATTTGTTCCATGATAATACTTGAGTCTGCAGCCCTTTGTATGGATTCTTACTCTAAAAAGGAGCTCATGTGCCCTTTCTCGAGTTTGTCCCTCACATTCGCGCTCTGCAGTGACTGACTTTGCCGCAGCGCACACAGTGCTCCGGTTCACCCTGCAGAGCGTCATTTTAGGACGTACCTACGTATCATCTTTTCGTGGTAATGAAGAGCAGTTTGTTTCTGTGTCCACTGAAAATTTGCCAGCTCTGTAAAAGGAGTGTCCTTTTGCTTTCCTCTGTATTTGAGCTTGATATCGCTTCCTCTGAACGCTTGGGTTCCTCAGCATTTCTACAGCTTAGTGGAATTAATCTTAAATGGCACCATGGAGCCATGCTGCTGCGGCAGAGCAAAGCCAAGGAGACAGATGGCGTTCTGTCTGTTGCTTGGATTTAAAGGTGGGGTATTGGCTTTTGTGCTGGAGGTGAATGGCAGGTGAGAAGCACCTAAGAATTTGAGTGTGATTCTGCTATGCAGGATGCCAAAATTAAGCCCACATCAACTAGAAGAGCCAGTCTTTGAGGCCTTCTAGCCTACAGTATCACCTCTTATTGTGACAGTACTGAGAGATGGGCAGTTTGAAACCTAAATGATCAGAATAGCACAACCACCTCAACTTCATCCCAGACACTAGCAGTCCTACTCTTCTATGGGTCTTCACCTTATCTTCTAATTAGGAGCAGAGTCCTTTCACAGATTAAAACCCAGGTAAGCTGCAGAAACTACCAGCTGGGAGATAGCAGATAATAAGAGATACTTTCTGGGAATTTTTTTTTTTTTTTCTCTTCTGCACCACCAGCTTTAAGTTACAGGTTTGAGTGAGGTGTAACTCACAGGTTGGTTTGACCTACAGTAGGTTTTGAAGATTGACATTTAAAAGTGTGTGTTCTAGAACATCTGGTCTCTTCACTCCCTCATTTGAAGTTGGATGCTTTGTTGTAGCTTGTAGCCTTATCTATCTCCAGTGGATGTAAAGGCAGTGTAATTTAACTTGTTTGCTGTATAGACTTCCGTAAGAAAATAGTAAAAGCAGCACCAGCCCAGGTAAGCTCTGAGTAGTTGTTCTACCGTGAGACTGCTTGTTAAGTGCAACAATAAGAGATTGTGTTATTAAGCTTTTATAATACACATAGTCATGTAAGAGAAAAATTCCATTTATTAAATGCAATTAACAATGCCACATCCTAACAGCTGATATGGCACCAATTTGCCACTTGTAAGGGAGAGATTTACCACCTTTCTTCAAATTAGTGGTTTGGGTTATGGCAATTTATACTTTGCCTGTTTAGGATAAAAATGGCACAGCCAGTCACTTACTAAAGGAAAGAATTAGAGCAAAGACAAGACTAATTATATAACTAAGAAACATTTAGACTCTGTCTTTTGATCAAAGTAATGCCTCTTAGTATTTTGGCTGGATAAAAGCCACTGCATTATATGAGACTTCCAACAACACTGTTCCATGAGGAGGGCAAAGAAACAACCGGGGATTTGGGGTTTTAATGTGTCATGTAGAGACATCGCTTTGGTTTGTGATCTGCATCATTGTGAGACAGTGGTTCAGTATTGTCAGTGAATCTAATATAAGCTTTAGACCCAAACACTGAATCTACTTTTTCATTCTGATTATGTCTACATAATCAGTATTTAAAAAATAGAGATTTACATATACAGTGTCTCTGATTAAGCCAGTGCAATTTAAATACTGTGCATCAAGGCAGACAACTTTTTCATGGGTAAATTACTTCAAGTTGTAAATAGTTACCTAAAGGCAGCTCTGTGTCTTACTTTGAAGATGTTGCTTGTTGCTGCCTGGCCTAACTTTGCAGAACTGCCTGATGGTGCTGAACTGTGGAAGAGTTTTAGACTGCTCTTCTTTAAACAGAACAAGGTTGTGCTGGGAAGCTTTCAGAGTACGTAGTTCCTAAATACAGACATACAATACAGAGTCAGGGAAGCACAGGATCTCCATATGCACAGTCCTCTTCAACAGCAAGATTGTAGTCTGATCCTGTTCCACCTTTATATGCACTTGTCACAATTCTCAGCCACCCTCTTTCACCCTGTAAAGAATTAGAAAACATTAATATAAAAAATACATGCTATTGAGTCTGTTCTGTCTTCAAATGTGAATGATTTACAAATGTATCTAGGCATTCACTTCAGATGAAGTGTAACACTGAGTTCACAGGGCAACCTTGTTTAAAGGGACCATCTGCTTCAGTGCATTTACTTCCTTCCAGGAACGTGACTTGACTTTTTCCTACAGCTAACAGCCATTTATCATTGTCCAAAACCAGAGCCACGTGTCTGTGGAAGGACAGCGTTTGGGGTTGAGTTGACATTACTCAGGTAACTTTGGCTGGATATTCTTGTCTTCAGATCAGTTTACATTTTTTAATTGGTAGTTTATTTCAAAGGAAGTTTTACTTTACCCATCCACGTGCTACCTTTGCAGCTTCCTGTGTGCAAGTGAAAAACCTCACATTTTCTCTGAAGTCATTCTGAAAACATGCTTGTTCCACCTCTCCTTACCCAGGGTTCACCCCATGAGTTACGAACAATCCAGTATTCTGTTCCGTTTTCTACGCCCCAGCCAGCCACAGACACGATGTGATTCACCACCGGCGAGGGGTTGTACTCTGTATAGAGTCCCCCAGTGTACGCATCCAACTTGTCAGTAGCCATTATGCCACAGCTGTGATAAAACAGAAAGCATGTCTTATATAAGGACATCACGGCAGAGGCCTGGCTAAAAAAACCACCACCACACCAACAAAACACACCACATAAAAAAAAAAAAAAGCTGAAGTCTGTGTATTAATGCAGAGCTAAATTGTGATGGAGTGGAGATGTACGCTTCAGTCATTAGACTGAGTTTCAAGTATTTCAATCCCAGTATTACTAATAGATAAAGGTTTTATTTGTTTTTACCTAATTGGTCCATTAGTATAGATTTCTGCCATCATTTTTTCCCTTCCACTGACAGATCCATAGTCAGCAACTTTCCACCGGGTGTAGTTCTTGATGACATGGCATTCTCCAAAAGTGACACAAGTTCCACACTGGTTAAACTTCTTGCACTCTACAAAACAAAAGTGAGTATTGTCACTGCAAGAGAAGGCTTTTCTTCAAGCGAATTAATAATATGACACCAAGGTTTGGTTTTTTTCTTATAACTTATTTGAAGCAGATTTTAGTAAGAGTAATTACTAATGCATGCTCTCTCTAGAAACCACATTTCCAGTTCCTACAATCACTAGTTACTGTTCCTTATAGGCATAAGTACTTGTTTATAGATACAGAAACTATTCCAGTCATACATGACCAGACAAAGGTTACATATCTCCTTTGTTTAGCTTGAGGTGACACTTGTAAATATTTCAGTACATTAGGGATTGTGTCCCACAGATTTAAGAGATTAAGTTCAAACAGTTGAGCTCTGCAAACTTGTCTCAGCATGATCTAATGTTATGCTGTCTGACTAGAGTAAGGAGACACACACACATGTGCCTGTAAAGAAAACCTTTTCTGTCAGTCAAACAGCAGGTACTGTACTGAGAGGCAGGAACCAGTACACTGAAACCCCATGATTTTGGGGTTTTTTAGTATATATATAAGATCTGCTAAACCTGGGATGAAGCCTTACAGCAAGGCAAATAGGCATCATACTTTGATCCTTAGCTTGGTAGTTGTTGCAGGTCTCGTCTGGAATGCCGTGGTCGTGGGCGTACATCCAAACACCCGAGTGGTCCCCACCCTCACAGGATCCTGCATCAGCACAATCGATCACATTCTGAACAGAGAGGTAGGCAGAAGGCCATGCACCTTTTCTCTTTATGTTGATTCGATCTGTAGAGATAAGAAATGGGTGTTTATTAGTGGGATGTGTGGGTGGCTACACGTGGCAACTAGTGTTGAAACTCTCTCTCCTTCATTGAACGGGTAACTTTGCAGGCAAGGGTACCTGTGGCTGGAAAAGCCTCTGCTGTTGATAGTGAGGCACATGGTGTGACCCAGCTCAGACTGGCAGGCTGAGTTATTACTGTGGGTTTCCATTAGAAGTTTTGTTCCATTAAAAACTCAGCAAAAATACACAGATGAGTAAGATCTGTTTAAAGCCTTGAGGTGCCCCTTTGAATTCAAGTCACAGCTTCTGAAAGCTTCCAAATCTGTTGACAGCAAAGAGTTTTCAAATACACATCATAAACCCCACTCTCAGTAGCTTCGTTTACAGGATTTATGCATAAACCCATGCAGAGAGTCATAAGGCCATGCAGTCTAGGTCTCTGGTGCCCAGAGACAATCTTCACAAACTTAAAGCAGGGAAAGGCTTTCAGAAATATATCCTTGCTGTTATGGCAACATGTCACTGTTATCCTGCAGGCATTGCCACCCTGCTGCCTTATTTTGTCAGAAACAACGAGCTTACTTGGCAGAAAAGCTTCCTGATGGGTATTTATAAACTGCTGCTCACAGTGCATTAACAGTCTTAACTGATGCCACTGTAGTACTTTTAATCCTCTTAGTACTAACAACATACAACTATACCTGACAGAACTGGGAGGCGTTATCCCAGCCAAGTCTTCCACCAACAACAGAAGGAATGAATGAACACTATTCATAGCAGGTAACAAAAAATAATCCTGATATTTAAAATCATCTCTTTATACTTACAAAAATGCACATATTGGCATACCTACATATAAAATGAAGTTTTAAACAAAGTTGTATAATTAATAAGTTACTGTATTTCATCTAGCCTAGTGCTTCACTACATCGTGGTAGGTTCATTGGTGTCTGTATTCTTGTACTGCTTAAGAACAGATACTTTGTGACTCCCACTGTCTGCTCACACTTGCTCTTCTCATTTCTGCACAATTTCCTCTATCTCTCCTTCACAGTTAATCCTTTTACAGCCTCCCTGTGCAGACAGTACTTTGGCAGCGTGCTGCTGCTGCATGCAAATTATCATGCTTTACCTCTAGAGAGAAAACACCCCTCCAACTGAAGCAAACCTCTGCTTCCCTTTTCTCAGCCAAAGGCTGACACATCTCACCTGAAACTAGCTTTGTCTGTGTGCTGTGGTGGCCAGTTCATTTGAATCACAGGGCTCATGAAGCTAATACCCTGCAAGCCCTTCCCACAAAAGGCGACTTCTTTCGTTTCCTCAGAGCCAGGCATCATCAGAGCAGCCCCTCGCTGCTGTAGATGTCGTGCAGTGGGCTGAGGTACCGAAAAAGGGAAGGAGACGGGGCAGCTGCTTTTGCATCTGCTGCTGCTCTCACTGTGGCTCCAAGAGGGGCAGAAAACTGAGTTCTTACTCCAGGCCCTAAACAGCAGTGACTTCATTCATCTTGCAGCTTTGTACCCATGCCAGCGTTCCCCACCTTGAACAATTTTGGGAGGGTGGGGGACAGCCTCGCCCTGATTTCTTTCCGGTACGGAAAGCAAACCTCCTTGCCTTCGGCTTGGGACTTCCTGGTGCGTTTGCAGCCGTCTCAGCCTTGGTTTTGGCTGCATTAGTCACCGCAGTGATTTGGCTGTTTCGTAAGCTGCACATGAGCTTCCCCATAAAGCTACAACTGACCGGGGGCAGCGTGTACCTGCCGGGGCGGTGGGGCGGCCGTGGGCCCAGCAGTACCCGCAGTACTGGGGGATGTGCTGGTTGCGGGTGGTGCTGGCGTAGTTCACCCCATCCACGTTCCTCCAGTCCCAGCTCTTGGGCAGCGCCGACACGTCCAGGTACTCGTGCGGGCGGGGGTAGGTCCTGTGCGGGGCACAGAGAGGCGGTAGCGACCTCACCGACCGGGCCGGTATTTTCAGGCAAACGAGGGTTTGGGGCTCAGTGTGTGTGTTTATTTATTTATTGTAAATTAAC